CCCACCCCTGTTCTACCCCCCTTTTACAGTTTCTGTCCTGATGGTGACAGGCCTAGACAGACGTGGGTCTCCTGTCTCTATTGATGGAGATGTGGGAAGAAACCTTCCAGGTGTCAATGTTTCTCATTTAATGATTAACGAGCACTTACTCTGTCTAAGGCCCTATGCTAAAGATTGGAAGTTACAAAGCCCCTTCGCTAGAGAATGATAAGGGAATAAAGAAAGTTCCACAAGAGAAGAATAAACCAGTTGTCCTGGGCTCAAGGTGAAGAAGCACTTCCTGTTGCCTGGAGTCACTGGGGAATGCCTTGTGGTGTGTTATTTGAGCCGACTATGGCTGGGATTAACAGCAAAGAGGAACAAGGACATCTCAGGCCATGTGCACATAAACAAGAGAGAACAAATAAATACTGCGCTCAGGGCGCTGCTAGAGGTCAAGAGGTTACTATGGCAAGCGATGAGACTAGAAAGAAGAAAGCCCAATTAACAAAAATTCTAAAGGAACGAGAGGGTCCTGTTGTAGGCCAGCCTGAAGTCTGCGTCCTTTACCACCAGCAAATGAAGAGACGATTTGGGTTTTAGGAGGATAGGGCATAATAATATCGCTATATATATATATAATGAGAAAGTCATGGTCTTTTCAATTATACTGTTACTGGCTGTGTGACTTTGAACACAGTCACTTTACTTCTCTGCAGCTCAGTTTCTTATCTGTAAAATGAGAATAATAACAAATAGTTCCTACCTCATAGGATGGTTGGGGAGACTGAAGGAGATAATGGATGTAAAGGTGTGGAAGGTGCTTAGCACATAGTAAGTGCCCAATAATAGTAATAGTCCTCTTATTATTAATATCCCTTTTTATTTATTTATTTATTTATTTTTTTCAACATTTTTTATTTATTTTTGGGACAGAGAGAAACAGAGCATGAACAGGGGAGGGGCAGAGAGAGAGGGAAACACAGCATCGGAAACAGGCTCCAGGCTCCGAGCCATCAGCCCAGAGCCTGACGCGGGGCTCGAACTCACGGACCGCGAGATCGTGACCTGGCTGAAGTCGGACGCCCAACCGACTGCGCCACCCAGGCGCCCCATAATATCCCTTTTTAAAAAAGAGAGCAAGCCAGTCTCTGGTCCCTTTGACAAACATAGTTTCTAATAGTTTTGGTTTTTGAGTACTTACATTTATGGTTGTCTTCGATGTACGACTAGCATCATGGGTTTTCCATTTGCAGCACTGAAATTAAGATTCTCACCCAAACAAATCAAGCACACACACAAAAAAGGTCAACTCAAAAGGAAACATAATTAAAATAGTACAGTTGGCACATGGATATAGCAGATATCAAGAAAGTTGTACTGGAATGACCGAGGTTGGGAATACACGGCTGGGGGTGCTGGGGAGCCCTGATGTTTCAGGACAGAGCCGTGATGCGATTATATTGAAACTGTGTAAAGATGAGATTAGCAAACGTGGAAGCAATAGGTGTGACTAGGGCAAGGTGAGAAGCAAGAGAATAAAGAGAGAGACCACTGAGACAGGAAAAGGGAGAATTGGGCAGGGGGGAGCTGGAACCCACCACCCTGGCATCAGGAAAGAAACAGCCCAGTGCCAGACACAATATGCAGAGAAGAATCAAAAGTGCTTCATCACCAATTACAGGCCCCCAGGACCTCATCCCAAACTCAGGGGTCCAGATAAGTGCCAGGATTTAGAATTTGGGGATTTAGAATTTTAGTGCCAGGGTTTAGAATCTTAACAATATAGTACATATTTGAATACTAACTCTTTCAATTTGGGATGGGACAGCACTGCAAAATCAAACACATGGATATTTCTGCCCCAAAATGTAAAAAAACCAAAAAACAAAAAACTCACCAAGTGAGATAAATAAAGCCCAAAAGAGCCTCATGTCATTTCATGTCAAGTTTTGTTGCCAAATGACTTCTAATGCCTCCTGACAAAGTTGGTTTTGGTTTTTTGGAGCTTCTCAGATTTTAGAATTGTGGATGAGGGCTTGTGGGAAGTGTTCAAGATAACTCCACCCAGGTTTCTAACTTAAGGAAGTAGGTGAAAGGTAATGATGTCAAATGACCTAGGAAATGGTTTTAGGGAGATGGTTATTCTTTGATGTGTTAAATTTGGGATGGTTTGGGGGTACTGAGTTTTACAGCTGGAATGTCAGAGAATGAGAAACTCAGAAAGGAGACCAGAGATGCAGGGAATTGAATTTTGGAAGTAATTCTCTAAGGTGATGTCTCACACTGTAGGGAACTATTCTAGGCCATGTAGGGAGCAGGGGGACCCCGTGTGTGCCTGTCTGAGCAGTGTGACAGTTTCATTTACCCTGGCAGGCTCCTCGTAACCTTCAGGGACTCTGCTACCTGCCAGGACTCCCCCCTCCTCTCCAGTTCCAGACGGATCAGTCTGTGAAGCCTTCTAACTTGGCTAAACTGGAGATCCCTCTTGACTCACACACCTGATACTAACAGGAGTACTGAGTGATTATAAGTCTCAATACCACAGTCCAAAGAGTCTCCCTGTAGACCTCCTTGAACCACCAGCCGTGTGATCCCCTGGGACCTTTTCCCCATCTCGGACCTCTGAGCAGCAAACTGTCCTGATGGTGTCTGCCTGGACTGGATGATCCTAAAATTCATCACTTGTTACTTTTGTGTCTTTTTTCTTACCGCCCCCCCCCCCCCCCCCCCACCCCACCAAATCTTTAGTTGGGGAAATAGCACTACCTAGAGATGTGTGCTATAACCATGCCCCCTCTGTCTAGCCCAGCACATTCTACCAGGAAGACCGTCGTAACTCAAGAGCAGAGTGCTAAGACAGAACTTTGGTGACAAATACATGTAAATGGAAGCTGGTAAAAAGAAGAACCAAGGGAAAAAATTAAAAGGAATCAGACAAAGAGGGCAACACATTAGTGTTAGGGAAACCAGAGAATGGCTTTATGGAATTGTTCTCTTGAAAAGTTGTATCAGTCTGTGGTTGATTCGGGAAGGAGAATCAACCCTCAAGAATCATCTTCTCTTTGGAGAATCTTCCTCTAATTAATTATCACTACCCCCTTTATCTTAGGTCAGCTGTTCTCAAAGTGTGGTCTGTGGGCCCCAAGAGATCCCTGAGACTGTTTCAGGGGGTCCACAAGGTCAAAATTATTTTCATAATTATACCAAAATATTTGCCTTTTTCACTGCGTTGACATTTGCACTGATGGTTAGTGCAGCGAATCAAGGCAGTAACACCAAATTGCACAAGTAGTGACTGTGTTCTTCAATGTCACACACTTGCAGTAAAAGAAAAAAATGCCAGGTTCACTTTGAAATGCCCTTGATAAAACAGTAAAAACTAGTAATTGTATTAAATCTTCACTTTTGAGTATAGGTCTTTAACATTCTCTGTGACATAATGGGAAATATATATAAATAATTCTGCTGCATACCCAAATATGATGGCCGTTTAAGAAAAAGCACTTCAGTGATCCTTTGATCACTTTTTTTCATCGATACCGTTTTTATTTGAAAGAATGAGTGATAAACAAATTGTGGTTATTCAGATTTGAATATTTGGAAGACATTTTCTAGAAAAGGAACACAGCAGGACTATTATCTCATGGAAAAACCACTGAAGGGATGTGTTGCCAATGATAAAATTGGAGCTTGCAAGAAAAATCAGGATTTTGCAAAACTTGTAGCTGTTTTCCTTAGCTCCATAACTTCCCAGGCACTTGAAGCGTTTTCTGATAGGGTTGGTAGTAATATTAAGAAATGTGATTTCTTGGTATTGTACAATGAAATAAGCCATCATTTGAAAGACCTGCTTAGCTCAGTGAGCCAGTATTTTCCCAAAGACCAATATCTTTTTGATATCACAAAACCATAAATGGAAAAAAAGAGCATTCCATAATGATTTCAGATTCCACATTGTAACTTGTCTTTAAAAGACCACCACTTGTCTAGTTTGGGGATAGTATTA